TTAGAGAAGAACCAGTCCAGAAGACCTGCACAATTTTTTTCTTTTTGATTTTTTACCTGGATTACTGAGATGCATCAGGACAATATTTGACGTGGTTTTAGTCGAGTGTTTTACAATGTAAGTGTGAATAGATTGTGCAACATCAGCTTTGACCAACAACTGTCTCCTTCCTTATGTTTTATACTGGATTATGGGTTTAAATATTTGTCTTTTATTTTTCAGAAAAGAGATTTAACAGAAGAAACAAACTCTATCTTCTCCTCCGTCAAAGACCTTCTGGACACACAGCCGGAGGATGACTCTGACGCTCGTCTTCAGGTCTGACGTTTTTACACACAACACCAGAGCCGAGGTTACAACCTTTATAATTTACCTGAATTCATCTGAATGGGCAGTGTTTTAAAATGAAACAATGAAGCTTCTTTGTCTTCCTGTTTTTGCTACTAGCAGCAGCTGAGTGGCCACGTTTGCTAACAGGAAATGAGGCTGGTTGCAGCAAAAAACAGCCATAAATCAGTGACATTTTTTGGTTTTTATTTAATTACAGTGGTTAGATGATAAAGCATTCTAAACATTTCTTCACTTTGCATGAAGGTGTCGTAACGACATGTTTTTGGTGAAAGCGTTCTGCAGGCTGAGCCTGAAGATAAATGTTTATTGGTTGAGTAAACAGCAGAGAAGGAGTCTGATTTTTAAACTGAACATTTAGTTGTTTATTTTTAATCTTTACTCATAATGTGTTCATGTTCAGTCAGAAAGTTTCTGCTKAAACCTGAGCAGGCGGCTCGTGACAGAAAAAGATTAGATTTAAACTAATCAGCTGGTTTTATTGTGCAGTTTTTAAAGGAATGACCCCAGACCATCTTTGTGTTTACTTCATCATTTGCCAGGGGGGAAATTACAGGTGCAGCAGCTACAACCAGCTTATTGTACCTCACATTTTACTTTTTCTAAGTGGGAATGCGTTTTATAGATGTTTAAGTTCCTCTAAGAGTTGTTAAATGGCCGTTTATTTAAACTAGAGACTCGTTTTTTGTTAATGAAGCAGAAAACAAACTAAAAGGATCGAAACTGTAGATACAAGCCAAAAGTAGCAAAWTGCTTGCTAAAAGCTTCCAGACTCTAGATAAATAAGGAAACATGTGAACAGATGGTTAAAACCAGCAGAAAGCTTAATCTAGCTATATAAAGAGAAAAGTAGCGAACCAGTAGCTCAAAGCAGTGAAAGATAGCTAAATGTATCAASGCTGACTAAAAGTCAGAAGTCTAAAAGTAAAAAACGAGTAGCTGTAAGATAGAAGTAGCAGAAGAATAACCAAAGGGTAAAGTTGCAAATGTTTACTATGGCTAGATAAGAGAAATGTAATAAATAGATAGCTAAAAGTGTCAAAACGATAGYTGGTGTCAAAACGATAGCTAAAATCAGCAAAACGATATCTAAGTGTCAAAATGATATCYAAGTGTCAAAAYGATATCCAAGTGTCAAAACGATATCCAAGTGTCAAAACGATATCCAAGTGTCAAAACGATATCCAAGTGTCAAAACGAGAGCTAAAAGCAGCAAAACGAGAGCTAAAAGCAGCAAAACGAGAGCTAAAAGCAGCAAAACGAGAGCTAAAAGCAGCATAAAGCTGGTTAAAATTGTCAATACTGGCTAAAAGCTTAAAGTAAAAAAAAAGGCTAAATACAACTGGTCAAAAGCTAGAAAAGAGAAATGTAACGGATAGCTAAAAGCAGCAAAATGACCAATAATAGATAAAAGTAGCAAAAAGCTGGCTAACWTTATCAAAACTGAAGTAAAAATGGCTAAATTAGGCTTGAAGGCAGAGTAATCACCATAAGCTAAATGTAGCAAAAGATAAACAAGTTGGGTTAGAGCAATATGTTGAAATAAATTTTAAAGAGAATAGTTGTGAACTAAGTGTTAATAGAACTAATTAAATGTAAACATTTTAAAATTGTTCACAAATCTGAGCACTAATCTGAAATGGTTCAAAGTTTGCAGAATTTAAAAAAAATATTAACAAATTTTCCAAAATTTTACCTAATTAATTAGTTTTACTTTTCTCTCATTTTGCTACTTCTGGTTGTTTGTTTTTTGTTTATGGTTGATTTTATTTTTTTTTAAACACTGCACATTGAGCAAGAGTAAATAAAAAATGTTGAATATTAGTGTTTTTTAAAATATTCTTTATAAGGTACCTTTGTTTGCAGAGAAGTGTTTTCACATGAATCATAAAAGAATGACATGTTTATGTTCCTCTCCCTCAGATTTTCTTCATCACACTGTCTGCTCTTCCTCCTCCTCCCACCCACTCCTCCTCTCTGGAGATCTCATTTATATAACTCTGACTAAACAGCCGTGCTTGGACGTGTTGGACTGTTGTAGCATGAACACAGCCCACTGCCCTCCTCCTGCACGTTCTCCATCTTTCTCTTTACCCCCTCCTCCTGCATTGTTGCCACTCTGCATTCATCAGCCATGTGCTGCCGTACAGCAAAACACCAAATGAGATGGAAAGTGTAGCTGCAGCATCACTTTACTTTCAGCTAGAAGYGTTTCTGAAGCCGTGCATCAACTTCTGGCCTTTCACCCTCAAAGCGAGAGGCTGACCTTCCCCCCCCCTCCCTCCACAGAAGGTGCAGGCCGAGCTGGACGCTCGCAGAGCCGACCGGCTGGTCAGCCTGGACCAGCTGGCTCAGTACACGGACTCGCTGGAGAAGGAGCTGATCAAGATGACCGGTAACCTGAGGAGGTCCCGCACGGAGATCCTGCACCTGTCCGTCAGGTGAGAAGGCTTTTTAGCCGTCGTCGCTCGTTGTGGTTGTTGGTGGGCCGGGAGAAATCTGTCAGCTTCTCAAACGCGCGTTAGATTTGAGGTGATTTGTTTGGAGTGGGTGGATGAAGATGAGAGACTGGTTGCAGCGATCTGATTGGATGAATCCAGGTTTAGTAGGCAGAGCTAATTGTCACCTGTAGTCCTCGCACACAAAGATGTAATGAGCTCATAAGTTTGATTTATGCAAACCTTTTAAAGGGATCCACGATTAGTTGTGACACTTTATTTGATAAACATTTATTTTAACTGTAAAGACAGTAAAAATACTGTAGGCTGTTTAGTTTTGGAAAAGTTTAAACATTTTTTTAACAGACGCAAAGCATTCTGGGTAAATGATGACGTGGATAGGTCCTCGGTGTGAGGCTGCTAGCGAACTATATCCACCCTGAAGGTTAATCTTGGACAATATCTGATGATCGACTCTTTTAAATGAAACCAGAGAGCGTTGACAGAGAGGAGAAGGTAGAAATGACTCAGCCTGGAACTGAAAATATGGATGGAGGACAACAGAGCTGCTTCATGGAAGAASAACCTCAGCTTAGCCTGTTAGCTTTAGCGCGACACTATATTGCCTTATATGTATTAGCTCGGCACTAGCGCGACAAGCTAACAAGCTAAACTGAAGTCCTCCATCCACATCTTTAAAAATTTAGATTAAAAACTAAACAGCCTTCAGTATTTTTAGTCTTTATTTTACAATTAAAATATATTTTCATCAAATAAAGTCTAATGTTACAACTAATCGTGGACCCCATGTTTAAAGTGCCTTTAAACTGTGACATGCCTGTCCTTCAAATACAAAAAGTCAAAGGAAATATTACACTTAAGAGAATTGGCACAGTACACAAGATTTTACACATTTTGTCACATAATTGGCATTTTTTCTTTTGAATTTGGCTCAGCCAAAGTGAAACAGGAAGTGACATCAAAGGGGAACTCATTAATAAAATAAACTCTCTGGTCTTTGTTTATTAAAACAAAATTATTTGAAGTTTAACTCTTCTTTGTGTCTCTTTAATAGCAACTCAAAATCTAAAGACTCTAAAAATCAGATTCTTGTCTACAGTCTGTTAACTTTGTTACAACRCTCTGTTTACGTGCAGACATTCCCCTTTGACATCACTTCCTGTTCCTTCACATGCTAATATCTCAACAACTGTTCGTCTCAGCGACGTGGAATTTGTTTTGCAATGTGTTATCAATGTTATCTTTCCAAAAATGCATTAATGTTTATTACAGAAATCTGATGTCACAGGCACTTTAAGGTTTAGTCTTTTTTCTCTTCAACGTTCATCAGCATAAATGTTCTGAAATAAGGGTCTTTGTTTGAGCTCTGTTTCAGTTGTGCTGATTCTGACCTCATTGAACCCAAAAGGCCTGCCTCACTAAGTTTGGGTCTGAGCCGTTCCTGGGTTTTGGTCTGTGTGTGTGTGTGGATTTGTCTTGTGCCGTGTGTGTCTCTGTTTGGATGTGTGTTCATGGAGACAGCCATCCCCTTCAGACGTATAAAAGGGGCTGCACCGGTGCAGAACCGGACCAGAGAGAGGGGGGAAGCGGTGCAGGTTTAACGCGGGGCTGAGGTTGGGAGGTATTTCAGGGTTTGTGCAGTGTAAGATTTAAGATCTGGACCTTCTGAGCTGAAGTGTGGAAACCAGTACGGGGCCAGTGGAAGAACTGGCGCTGGTCACCCTGGGCAACAGAATGGGACACTGCATGGGCCTGCGGACTGGGTACAGTACTGTGATGTCATTCAGCATCTCTGTGCACGTTCAACAAGTAGATTTCTTTGCTTGTATCACATTTTCTTTGGGTCTCCTGGAGGTGTTGCTGATTTTATTTATTTATTTTCAGGGTGCAGGAGCAGGAGAACCAGAAGCGGCAGCTGTGTGACGAGCTGGACCGGCTGAAGACGTCTCAGGACAGCAGAGAGGCCTCGAGTGAGAACCCTGCATCAGAGGAGGAGGTCTGAGAGGGGGCAGAGGGGCCAGATTAATCCGTCTCACAGTTAATGAACTGCACAAACTGCTTTATGTTTTATATGTGGACAATGGTCGACGGTAATATACTCTCCAGACCCTCACTGCACCTGTGGGTCCACCTGGTCCAACTCACCACCAGGTGGTGGACAGCCACAGACCAGGTGACACCGCCCAAAGGTTCAGAGAAAACCCAACCCACAGGTGCCAAGCTGGGGGGCTAGAAGTACGCCAACACCGGCTCGGTGCTTCTCACCTTAGGCTAATCCAGAAAGGATTAAGGTCCAGTCCACATCGAGGAGATGGGTTTCAGAATCCACAACAGCAACCTTACCCACTTGAGATGACATTCAATGGCTGCGTCCTTCGACAGACCAGGTCTAAGTGGGCCGGGTCATTTAAAGGACCAGGTCTAGGTGGGCCGGGTCATTTAAAGGACCAGGTCTAGGTGGGCCGGATCATTTAAAGGACCAGGTCTAGGTGGGCCGGGTCTTTTAAAGGACCAGGTCTAGGTGGGCCAGGTGTTTTAATAGGACCAGGTCTAGRTGGGCCAGGTCATTTAAAGGACCAGGTCTAGGTGGGCCGGGTCTTTAAAAGGACCAGGTCTAGGTGGGCCAGGTTTTAATAGGACCAGGTCTAGGTGGGCAGGATCATTTAAAGGACCAGGTCTAGGTGGGCCGTGTCATTTAAAGGACCAGGTCTAGGTGGKCCAGGTGTTTAATAGGACCAGGTCTAGGTGGGCCAGGTCTTTAATAGGACCAGGTCTAGGTGGGCCAGGTCATTTAAAGGACCAAGTCTAGGTGAGCCAGGTCTTNAATAGGACCAGGTCTAGGTGGGCCAGGTCTTTAATAGGACCAGGTCTAGGTGGGCCAGGTCATTTAAAGGACCAAGTCTAGGTGAGCCAGGTCTTTAAAAGGACCAGGTCTAGGTGGGCCAGGTGTTAAATAGGACCAGGTCTAGGTGGGCCAGGTCTTTAATAGGACCAGGTCTAGGTGGNAATAGGACCAGGTCTAGGTGGGCCAGGTCTTTAATAGGACCAGGTCTAGGTGGAGCGGGTCTTTTAAAGGACCAGGTCTAGGTGGAGCGGGTCTTTTAAAGGACCAGGTCTAGGTGGAGCGGGTCTTTAATAGGACCAGGTATAGGTGGGCCAGGTCTTTTAAAGGACCAGGTCTAGGTGGGCTGGGTCTTTAAAAGGACCAGGTCTAGGTGGGCCGGGTCTTTTAAGAAAACCAGGTCTAGGTGGGCCGGGTCTTTAAAAGGACCAGGTCTAAGTGGGCCGAGTCTTTAAAAGGATCAGGTCTAGGTGGAGCAGGTCTTTAAAAGGATCAGGTCTAGGTGGAGCGGGTCTTGAAAAAGGATCAGGTCTAGGTGGAGCGGGTCTTGAAAAAGGATCAGGTCTAGGTGGAGCGGGTCTTGAAAAAGGATCAGGTCTTGGTGGAGCGGGTCTTTAAAAGGATCAGGTCTAGGTGGGCCGGGTCGTTAAAAGGACCAGGTCTAGGTGGGCCGGGTCTTTAAAAGGATCAGGTCTAGGTGGAGCAGGTCTTTAAAAGGATCAGGTCTAGGTGGGCCAGGTAATTTAAAGGACCAGGACACAGTGACGGCACTAAAGCAAAGAATAGATTGAAATTCAGCAAATATTAATATTATTATAAATTAACAAAATTAGCTTAAAGTCAATAAGAACTAATGGAGCTGCTGAACGAGTTGTTTACCAGGATCTTTGAGAATAAAAATAAAAACAAAACAAAACTGCTTTAAAAGGGGAGGAGCCTGTGAGTTTGGACSGCCTTCAGCACCGTGCAGTGATGTAATCAGCCTTGGAAGGATGCAGCTCCTGTCCCAAGAACCAGCTGTAGTCCACTCAGGTCAGGGMTTTGGCTGCAGCTCCTGGCCTATAATATATTTAATATATTTAATACTTTGAATATTGTATTTAATATTTTGAATATAAAATCTACAATCATCAGTTGCCTAAAGAGCAGTTATGTAACTTTTTGTGTGTTTAAATAGGTGAAGTATCTGGTAGAGTGGTGTGAGTTGGCAGCGGTAGTAAACGTGTGTGTGTGCGCGCGCACACACACACACCTACACACTTTTCAGAAACTCAGAGTACACTCGGGCGTACTCGAACCTCCCAACAAAGAGCTCTGCAGTGATGATGTTACACGCAGGGAACGAGTCGGCCATCAGCTGCAAAGTGGCTCTGATGGTGAAACTCAGGTGGATCTGTGGGGTTGGGTTGCTGGTTCCAACCTCCAGCTGATGCATACTGAAGTGTCTACGGGCAAAATACCGAACCCTACAGAGTCTCATAATGTGTTTCTCATTTTAAACTTTGCTGGAGAACTTAGTTTTACTGTTTAAAACATTACAAAGTGTTTGAAGTGGTGTTCTTTGGGATTGTTATGAACAATGAATATCCTACCTGCTGTAGATGGCTCCTAAAATGCTTGGTTGTAAATGGGAAAACCTCTTTTTTTAAGCCTGGAGTCGAGGTGGACTGGGACGAGGAGTTCTCTCTCCAGGACTTCTTGAAGCACGAACAGGTGGAGAGGAACTGCTGGTCGCAGGACGAGCACAGAGACCGCAAGCCCGATGGGAAAAGCGATAAGTTAACGGATAAAGACGAAGATGTGGAGGAGAGGTGGACGGTGGTTGGAACGACGGGAGGAGGAGAAGTGAGGGACACGTCGACTCCTCTCTCCTCCGTGTCTGTGGAGATTCAGCTTGAAGGAGGCCGAGGTGAGCAGGGTCATCGCTAAGCAATCTTTTATTAGAGATCCTGGAAATGTTGATTGTTGATAAATGTTTCTTTTAAAGATAAAAGAGCAGATGTTTCAGGGAATCTTCAAAACTTAGTCGTCTACAAAATGTGACCTTATCTTTCTTTTAAAAGTTTTTTTTTATCCAGAGCCAAAGCTAAAAGTTAAAAATAGCACAGAGTTCTACACAAAGATCCAACAGGCCTATCAATCTAATAAATGGATGTGAATCACTTTTACTCAGTTTTTAGCTAGCCCTTTTGTGCTTTTATTCTTTTAGTTCTTAAAGTTTAATTCTTTTAGTTTTTCGCTAGCCTTTTGCTGCTTTTAGCCACTATTCTTTTAGTTTTTAGCTTTTTACCACTACTCTTGTTCTATTTTAGCGTACCTTTTGCCAGTTTTAGTTAGCATTTTGCTACGTTTAGCCACTATTCTTTTAGTTTTTCGCTAGAGTTTTGGTGCTTTTAGCCATTATTCTTTCAGTTTTTAGCTTTTACCACTACGCTTGTTCTACTTTAGTGTACCTTTTGCCAGTTTTAGTTAGCATTTTGCTACTTTTAGCCACTATTCTTTTCGTTTTTAGCTAGCATTTTGGTGCTTTTAGCCACTATTCTTTAGTTTTTAGCTTTTTACCACTACTCTTGTTCTACTTTAGCGTACCTTTTGCCAGTTTTAGTTAGCATTTTGCTACTTTTAGCTTTTAACTAACTTTCAGTTTTAGGTTTTAGTTACTGTTCTGCTAGCTTTACCTTTTTTAAAATATCATTTTTCTACTTTAGCATTTTAGCTAGGCTAGTCTTTTGGTTTTGCTGCCTTACATTTTTTTTTATTATTATTAAATCTTTGTTTAAACCGGACGATCTCATTGAGATTAAAAATATCTTCTTTTTTTTCTAGCCAAAGAAAAAGAAAAAAATATATCTTTAGCCAGACATTTTTAGCAAGTGTTATTCTTCTTTCAGCTTTAACAGCTAAGTTTGGGTTTCTTCTGTGAATATAAGCAGTCGATGGTTGGGTCAGCTTTCTCTTTCTCTCTTCTTTTTTGTCCCCTGTCGCCTCATTTGCTTTCAAGCACAAACACTTTTTGGTGAAAGGCGTGGTCATGGTGGTGCGGCGAAGTCAGACATCACGCCGTTCACATACGTTAGGCTCTAAATTCGACATATTTCAGCCAGTCTGCACCCGATTCACTATGGTTAATCCTAATCCACCCCACTACAGAAATGCAGTACAATTTTTGGAGGGCGTGGCCTATTTAGACCTCATGCTGTTGACACACGGTTGGCTCTAAATTCCACATAMACGATTCGATCTGAAACAAATTTCGTGCATCATAAAGGAGACCTGCTCAACATTTGTGTAGTAATTTGACAAGATCATTTTGCGATCTATCTTATTTGATTTAATAAGTTCTTTACCTTATAAACAGCAGATATGAAATTTAATTTGTATACTACAAGAGGGATCCTAAGTACTTCCAAGTAGTATTTGTACCAACGTTTAAGAACCATGACTTTAAAGTGCCTGTGACATGCCTATCCATCAAATACAACAAGTCAAAACACAAGAAACCTTGCATAAAATGGGATTTTTACTCATTTWGTCTCATAACTGGCATATTTACTTTTGAACTTGGATCAGCCAAAGTGAAACAGGAAGTGACATCAAAGGGGAACTATTTAAGAAAGAACTCTCTAGTCTTTATTGAAATTATATTATTTGAACTCTCACTCGTCTTCCTCTGTCTTTGATAGAGACTCAAAAATAATCTAAAACTCTTCTCTACAGTCTGCATACAGTAATCTATGCCCTTTGACATCACTTCCTGGTACTTCAAATGCAAATATCTCAATAACTGCTCATCTCAGCGGTGTGAAATTAATTCTTGCAAAATGTTTTTTTGATATCTTTCCAATAATGTCTTTGTATATTTATTTTAAAAWTTTTATTTCACAGGCACTTAAAGGAATCACCCACTGCCTTTTAKTCCAGAGTGTTAAACTAAGATAATCCTATAATCCCTCTATCTTCTACTGTTAGTGCTCAGGCCCAGACTTCCCTCCCACCAGAGGAACTCTCCAGCTCCTTCTGGGGGATCCCAAGGTGGTCCCAGACCGGAGAGGATATATAATCCCTCCGGTGAGTCCTGGGTCTCCTCCCAGTGGGACATTCCTTGGAAAACCACCAAATCGAGGCCTCCTTATCTAATGCTTGACCCACCTCTCAGCTCAAACACATCAGATAAGCTGCAAGTTTTGTCCTCGTTGTGAATTTGATTTGACACGAAACCTCGAAACTAAATCTGTGTGGTAAGCAGAGGTGGTCAGAATCGTGTGTTTGTCCGTGTGACGGTGGATTAAACTTGTTGCATCGCTCGCACCATCACCAAACGGACAAACGCTCAGACCCCCTCATGTCGACCCCTGCCTTCTATGGTCGTGGCGGCCCTGAACTCCTCAACAGAGAGAGAGAGAGAGAAAGTCTGTCGACAGTGTGAGAATTCTTGTCTTCCTGGAGTTCCTTCTATGGCCAGGTGTTTGAGTGGACTGGGTCAGTGCAGGGAGCTCAGTAATCCCCATTCCTCTGCTGCATGACTGCCCAGCAGTCAGAACTGAAGAGTCCGAGTGCTGGTTGTTGCCACTGTACCCCTGCTCTGTCCTCCTTTAAGCCCTGCATAATGAACACTTTGACTGTTTATGGTAAAAAAAAAAATGGGGTTTTGTCACCAATAACCACGACTTAATTAAAGTTTCTTTGTTTAATGTTTCAGGAATCTTCTATTTATGATCCCTTTTTTCTTGTTTTTGCTGTTCCAGGCTCTGCAGCCTGCACAGAACCAGAACCAGAGCCAGAGCTTGATTCTCAAGCTGCACAGGTAACTTAACCTTGAAAAGTAATAAAAATTAAAATATTTAACAGAATTGGGTACGTGTTTAAGGTGGTGTTTCTGCAGCAATAAAATCCTGGGTTTATGTGGTTAAACTGTTTCTTTATGGCCTAATTCTTGGTTTATAAAAGTTTTTTTTTTTTTTTTTTACCCAAACAAGCTTTTGTTTCAACCCCCTAAAGCCTGTTCCACTAATATTAGAGGCTAATTTTAATTCCACCTGTTTTTGGGAGAAAATATTTCTTAGTCTTACATCTCATCAGCTCATAGCTGAAATGTTTATTTTGACATGTTTAAACCAGTGCAGAAGGTTTGATATTTGTTTAACCAGGAAGAAGCTTCAGATTAGTCTGAAGGGACCGATATTTTGTTGTTGTTAAACTGACTCTTTAATCTGGACATTTAAGCTTTAATAATAAATTTTTTTCTCCAATGTGGTCTAAATACTTTGTCGTACTAAAATAACACCAAGAAAACAGTATAGAGCACACTGTTGTGCACATAATACAATAAATCTGTGAAACTTGAAAATCTGATTAAACATTAAACAAAGCAACATTAAGATAAGTATCGCTGTCWTTTTTTTTTTACATAACGGTCATGAGGAACTCATCCAATCCAGACAAATACTACATTATTAATATCCAAGAGTAACTTCTGAAAAGCCTAATTTGGTTTTATTTATATTCAGGATCAATTTTAAGCAGCACCGTGTTGCCTTCAGCTGCTGAAAGTCGATTTAAAAGTCCTCAAACGTCGATAAAACAGGGTTGGGTTTTCTAAAACGTGTGTTTGTGATGAAGAATAAATTAGTTTGAAAGCTTGCAGTTTGAGTCATTCTGTTTTCACACTTTTCACAGGTTTTTCTGTCACATTTCTGTGGTTAAGTAGTTTATGCRCAGTTAGATTTTAGCAAACTGACCATGTGTTTAAAAAAACATTTGCTCATTTAAATTTTAAACTATTAAATCTGCATGTTTTTCCTCTAATTGTTTAGTATCAGACATTAAATCATCCTGCTACACTGTTTTGTACCTGGATGGATAAAATTCCTGCTGTTATAAACGACTTCTCTCTGATAAAATACTGATTACTCAGCTGAATTCAGCAGATCATGCCTCTGTTCTACGTGTGTTTCTGAAACACCGTCCAAACAGTGACATTTTAGTTGAGAGTTTCTTCTTCTTTTTCTCCGGTCATTTGCMTACCAAATGTCTCATTACATATGATTCACAGCCTCTGCTTTCGAGCGCCAGCCTCCATATTTGTACTTGAGCTGTCGGCTTCCTTATAGAAAAACAGCAGTGATGAAACCTTTAGGTTCAKTTGGAGGTGAAAGAGGAAAACGGGAAGTTTTAATCTGTTGTCACTATTTTTAAACTTGGGTCTTCTGTGTTTTACTCCAATAGTTTTAGACCTTCATTTATAAATAATTTATAAARCCTGTGAATCTTGAAGCAGCCTTTTCCTTCCTGTTTATTTTTTCATACATTTTTGATACAAACTAAATTAATACCTTTTTAAGAGCTTTGGTTTTTGTAAATATTGTACCTTTCACAATATTTACCTTTTTGTTTACAAATGTTTTCCTCATATAAATACAGTCAGTTTTGTTTTAAAAGCTGCTTCAGCATCGTTTGTCTTTTTAAGCTACTGTCCTGGTACTTTTAGCTAACCTTTTGTTTTTTTTAGTTTTTGTCCAAAACATAGCTACTTTTATTTGACCATTTTCCACCATTGTGCAACTTTTAGCTTCTAGTTAGCATTCTGGCTAGTATTTTGCTAAGTATAGCTTTCTGTGTGTATGTGTGTATGTATACAGTATGTGTGTGTGTGTGTGTATAATTTAGCTAGTATTTTAATACTTTTGGATTTTACTTGTTTGTTACTAATTTAGCTAGCTTTTTGCTATTTTTTTAGTCTTTTAGCTATTGTTTTTACTACCTTTTTTTTTAAACCAATCTTTTGCTACTTTTTGCTTTGAATCAGGCTTATATGTATTTACTTTAGTATAAAACCTGTAATCAGATTACATGTATTTACTTTAGTATAAAACTTGTAATCAGATTACATGTATTTACTTTAGTATAAAACTTGTAATCAGATTACATGTATTTACTTTAGTATAAAACCTGTAATCAGATTACGTGTATTTAATTTAGTATAAAACTTGTAGTCAGATTACATGTATTTAATCTAGTATAAACCTGTTATCAGATTAGATGCATTTAATCTAGTATAAAACCTTTAATCAGATTACATGTATTTAATTTAGTATAAAACTTGTAATCAGATTACTGTAACCAGATTACATATATAAAACTTATAGTCAGGTTACTGTAACCAGATTACATGTATTTAATCTAGTATAAAACCTTTAATCAGATTACATGTATTTAATTTAGTATAAAACTTGTAATCAGATTACTGTAACCAGATTACATATATAAAACTT